GCAAGGTTCTCCGTTGGTTACGCCGCTCCCTGCGGACGAGCCACCAGGTGATATGATATATCTCGTGCCACTGTGTCCTGCATGCTGATAACACTGGTCTCCTATATCTAAAGTGTATACTTAATCATGAGAGTGAAACGATCTTTCAACGAGGATGTTCTTCCTCTTTTCAAGGGAAATTGAAAGTCATTAGTGAATTCGTTCGCGTGAGTTGTATGACATCGAGACGTTCCTTCATCCATAGGCAAATATATATATATATATATATAAGAATGTTGACATAGGAATTCTTTTGTGGTTTTTTTTTATTCGTATTTATATTAAATTGATATGATATATATTTTATATCTACAAGAAACGGGTGAAATTCGAGCTTTATTTTATTTTCGTCGATGAATAGAAAATGACAGAACGAAAGGTGGGAAAGAGTGAGAATTCAAGTTTTTTTGAAGAAATATTATGTTGTACTGTCTCGATGTGAAATTATTCTCGCTTCACTGGGTCCAAGAGGATTCAGTGGTGGGGATGACTCTCGAACATACTATGTACGCAAGAAGTGCTCGAGCGAATGACGAATAAATATTATACATACTTCGGTTCTTTGGCCTACTGCAAGCATTCGTAATAATTTTACTAATAAAAATTCATCAGTTCATTTTTTTTTTTTATATTTGATGAATTATCAAATTCAATCAATTAAAGGGAAACGCATTTCAATTTTTTAGTATGACATAATTTAAATGCATTGAAGGTCAAGATAAAAATTTATGCAGTATAAAAAGTATGTATCAAGTCGTTATTAACTTATTGTTAGTTCTATATCTAATCGATCCATTCTCATTATTTTTAAATAATAATAAGAGATAAATATCACTTAATATAATTAAATATAATTTCATTTTTTATTTCATGATTATTATAATTTTTAAATTGCTATTCTTCCATATTATGTTGAATTAAACAAATTATAGTATATAAGTGATAGTCAAAGATATAGTATTGGAATAAACTAGTTGAATTTTTTATTGTAATTTATTTCGTTTTGGCGGTAGTTTTGAAATGATTTCAAACCGTTTTGATATTGAATGAACATATTTTTTTTTTTAATTTTTTACTGATGTATCAAACCTGTTGATATATTTCATAGTGTAATGGATTTGAACTTTTAAAAAAATTGATATGAAATATAAATTCAATTTATCATCATTTATAATAAATTCTCAGAACTTTGTAATAAACATATTTATCGAATTAAACTATAATGATGACTCTTCATCATAAATTAACCCGTGTTAGAAATCATTAAATGACTGCTGACAGAATTAATTTCCCAGTAATGACCATACTGACGTTTCCCCTCTCTTTCATTCCTCGCAATTTAATTTCCATTATCGTAAAAGAATTCCAGTATAAGCAAACCAAGACGACGAAAGGTGCAAATGAAACCAGTGAAAGGGAATGTTCCTGAAAGTAAATCGGCCTTGGTGAAATACCAATTCGATTTGTGAAATATTTTCGTCTTTTAGTTTCGTAAATTTTAAATATAATTAGTGTAATTAAATATGTAATTAAATATAAATTAAAATGAAAATTCAAAGTATTTGCATTAAGGGGATTATTTCATAATAGCATTTCTTTGATAATTATATATTAGGAGAAAATTAACGATAAATGATGTTTTATATTTTTTCAATTTAATATATAATATAATTATTTAATATATTATTTTTTTTTTTTTAATTCGTTTTCTACTTTTAATATTATTTATTTGCTATATGCTCGAGCTCTTCTTGTGGATATATAATTGTTCACTAGGGAAACCTCCTAAGAACCAGTCAAGTCAAACTAAATTCAAGCAAAACATTGACCTTTAAATTTCTTCAAGTGTTTGGATTCTCAATCCCTCTTCGTTTTTCTCTATCTATCATTCTATATAGTCGAAGTCAATAAAGATAAAATTTTGTGTCTCTAACTGCTATATGCTCGTGACTAATCCAGAGTTTATGATAAATAAATACTGTGTTAGGTTATGTAATGAATTCGTTCGCGCCAATGATTAATTGTCGTTTGTTTGGTGGGAGTACAAAGTAATGCTCTGTTATAAACTTTTACCGCCTAAGCACATAATTGCACTGTGCTGGAGCGAATCAATTGAAAGCATCAGTCACATGCAGAAAAAGAAGTTGTTTTCCATATACGTTAAATGTCATGACAAAAATTATTGTAGTTACGTTAGAATATTTTTCATATTGAATAGATTTATCTCATTTTTACTTGTTGCATACAATGTTTGCAATGTTTTATGCATTGCAAATTTCTTTTCTTCATGTAACACATGAATCTTTTAATGCAAAAAAGAAAAAATTTTGTGATAAAGAAATATTCAATATTCGAAGGATGAAGAAAATTAAATTAGAATAAAATGCATAACATAACATTATTTGATTAATTAAATTTTATATATATATTTGTATAAATTTTCAATATTTAATATTCCAAACAAATTTATACGATTTAATATAGAACTATCAACGATAAATTTTTATCTTAAGTTTAAATTAATAAATTTTAAAACCACATTATTGAAATGACTCAATAAAAAAATTGTGAAAAAAAATTGTAAATATACATAATTTTTTCACTATCTATATGTTTTGACTATCAAAAATAAAAGGATAATTCTTATTTTGAGATTCGAAATTGTCGATAGAATTCTTTTTTTAGATCTACATAAGTTCGATAAATGGAAAGTAAAATAGAATCAAAATTTTTTTCGATCCAGAATATCTTTGGCATAAAACAATTTTGTAGCTCTCATGATAAACTCGAGTGCATCGTTTATTGAAGCGTTCGTGCAGAAAACTTGAATTAAAGCTTTCACAGTTTTATCTGAACCGAATTTTAAATGGCTATTTTTTTCTTTCGCTAGAAACTAATTTCTTTTTCTGATATTTTTTTTTATTGAAATATTATTAAACAAAATACATTTTTGTTTATATATCGAATAACTACACGTTCGCATAATTGTAAAGTTAAACGTGATATTCTTATCCTAACATAACCTCTATTTCTCTATAATATTTTCATCAACTTTCAATTGTTTATAAATAAAAAATAAAATTGAAAATGCAATTTTTTTCATCCTTGATTTTCGCTTGAAAAATAATTTCTTAAATTTTTGGATATTCTCCTGGATAGTTGAATATATTTTTTTCATTTTATTTTTTTAAAAATACAATAGTGTCTAAATAAATCACAGTATCGAGATCGAGAAGCGTTAATTATCGAAGGAAATAAATACTCTGAGAATTATTGAACAACTGTTCCACTTTCAAGAATTAGTGAGTGTGACATTTAAGCGAACAGAAAATACAATAGTTAACTGTTTTAAATGCACTATTATAATTCTAAAACTTGATCTCATTTTCTGTATTGTTGGATCTCGAAATAATATTTACATTTCACATTCAAATACCTATAAAGTTAACTTTATTCAATAAATAAATGAAAAGTTGGAATAATAAATTAAAATTACATCTCTTTAAGAGTTTAGAAATTACATTTTTACATAAAATAAAAAATGTTTTATAAATAATTATGAATATAAAAATTTGTAATAAATGTTTATTGATATTAACAATTACTTTAAACAAAGAAAAAATCAATATATAGAAAAAAAGATAATCATTTTGATGAAATCAAAAATTTGATTTTAATTTATATTTATTCAACATCTTTTTTTTTTAATCATCGTTTTTGTTTTAATATGTTTTAATATATTTTATCATTCAACAAAACTTTGGTTATAATAAATGTATATTTAATACGATATTTGATGAAAAACTTTTGAACTGTAGTGTACACATTTTAAATCAACTCGGTTCTCGATCGGTAAGATAAAACTGTCATTTTCTTTTCTATTAAATGTATATTATTATCTAGAAAAGTATAACGCTTATGGTAGTATTAACTTGTCGACAGTATACATCGTTGCTCGAAGGTGTTGAGAGACTCACCTTCGAAGAATAAATCGATATTATGCAACTATCTATAATAATGTAAGCACTCGGATAGCACTTAGATATTCGATTAAATACGATGGATTTATTAAAAACGTATTAAAATTTATTGAATTTTTGACAAGACTTGATTCATAGAATATAAAAAAATTTTAATTTCTATGGAAATAATATTTGAAATAATAAAAATTCGGCATATTTTAACCACCGATTCTCTTCAATATTTATCTTCTTTATACGCTTAATATGATTAAAATAAAGATAAATAACTCTTCCTTTTTTTTTTTTTTTTAAATGTGAAAACCGATCCTTATATTTATGACTGATAAAAAATAAAATTTTATATCTCTGTTGACATTTCATCAGTAGCAACGGTCACAGAAAAGGATAGTAAAAAAGAGGAAAAGTAAAAGATAACGTAGCTTTTAAATTTCGACGACTAGCCTTACCTCCTCTTCTATTCAGAGTCACGGACCATTATCAAACTTGGCTCGAAACCGGTTAAGTCTAGTTTCTTTTACATTTATCATAATAACACGATTTATTCTTTTGGCAAATGATTTTCGTATTTCACCATCATCCTCAAAAAAAAAAAAAAGATAATATCCTTTTCTTTTTCTTTTCACTTCAAATTGTATTCCTTTTATTATTTAATCTTATATTAAATTTATTATTATATTATATTTATTATTAAAATTATATTAAATTTTTATATTTTCATTAAAAAAAAACCAAAAAAATTTTCATCGTTGCACTATTATATTTATATCCATTTTTTTCACTGATGTGAGAAAGATTTATCTCACGTTTCAATCAACAATCGTAGCGCATCGCATCAAACGATTCCAAGGAACATTTTCTCAAACACCTCGATCTCTAAAGTTCTCACGTTTATCCTGGACGTCAATTTTTATCACCACTTTTATCACCAAGAATACTTATTTCGGTTTTTTGAAATCGTAATCGTTTCTTTTGGGTTAGGTCGACGGTCATGGCGCGGAAACGGGACCGGAACTCGACGAGGAGATGGAGAAGGTTTTCGCAATGGATACCGGAGAGAAGTTCGACGTAGCCCGACTCGGTTCCCCTTCAGAATCGGCTGGATCCGATCGAGAACGAGAACGCGGACCACCATCGCGATATGGAGATCGCGACTTCAATCGTACGTGATCTTGCATACATTTTTCCATCTTATTCTTTTTTTTTTCTTTTCTTTTCTTTTCTTTTCTTTTCTTTTCTTTTCTTTAACCACCGACAAGCTTTTGTAGCTTTTGTTCGTATAACATTCCAATGTCAATAATTCCTCAGATCCTCAGAGACAGAAAAATAGTTACGTAAATCAATTTTTCTTGCGATTCAAGGTTAAAACAATTCTACTTTCCGATGTACCGCGACATTATTTATTCTTTATATAATATTACGAAACGGTAGAGAATACTTACGATTTTTTTTTTTTTCTTTTTTTTTTTTTTTTTTTTTT